TAACTCCCAAACTAAACCTCCGTTGAACGAAAGGAGGCCAGACCCACGACCGTAGGTCGAGGCGTCCCTGGTGGTGGTGGCGAGTAGAAGAGCTCCTGCATGGTATTTTTCATGCCATTCTATTTATTTTAATCTCCTGAACGTACTAATGTATTTGGTTTAGTGTTTTAGGTTGCACAGGAAAGTTTGGATGATTTTGCCCCTGACCACAATCTACATTTGTTGCTGATCGAAACTGTTATATTTGCTGAGTCTTTAGGGTGAATAGTGGTGGCCCTAAAGCATCAAATTCGCATCTCTCCACGTTATGGACTTAGGTAGGTCCGCTTTGGTAAATTAGCTGAAACCTTTAAATTTTCGCACTAGCAGATTATCATGTGAGGTGATCATTAAGATTGGGGGTTGTCATTGGTTGGCAACCATTGCTTGTACTAGAAATTAGGGTTACTTGCTCTTAATTGATTGGTTGAGTACTTGTCTTTTGTTTTTTTGGTTAAATCAGTATCTAGCTCTTAATGTTATAATTGCTGTGAAATTGATTATTTGTTAAACGTACCTTTTGTTGCATTAATTCTTCTGCTGCATGTTAATTCAGTTAGAATTACCGTGACCTTACCCGTTCGAACGTTTCCTTAATCTAAGACAGCAAGTCTTACGAAACCCTGCGAATCTAGAACGATGTATACTGTCTGTGACTCTAGGACTACTTTGTGTGGTTTGATTGTATTTTGCACATCCTTTGGCTGTTTTGTAAAGATGACAACTCATAACTTTAATTTGGGGATTTTAACGGAAAATGTGATTTTTCAATCTGACAACAAAAAATAAAGGGTATTTTGGTTCAATAAAAAGTTTCAAAGGCCATCGAAGGTAATTTTTCAACTGATTTTTCAAAAGAACAAAAAGAAGAAGCCGGTGAGCTTGCTTATACATTAATCATTTTACAGTTGTCCGACGACATTTTAAGAAATGTGAGTAAACTAAAAACCACCAAAGAACTTTGGAAAAAATTGGAAGACGTATATTTGCTTAAATCTACACTGAATAAACTCTACTGCTTGAATGTTTTTTTCAATTTTAAAATGGATCATTCAAATGCTCTATGGCTCATAGGTTTACTTCATGAATTATGTGTTTTGAATGATTATGTGGTAGTGTATTCTGATAGTCAGTCGTCTATACATTTATGCAAGAACCCTGTTTTTCATGAGCGCACTAAACACATTGATGTTATGCTATATTTTATTAGAGATATAGTATCTCAAGAGGTGTTAAGACTTGAAAAGGTCCAGACACAATACAACCCTTCAAATATGGGCACGAAAGTGTTGTCACTGGTAAAGTTTAGAAGTTGCAAAGATCTTCTAAACATTGGTACAAATAAATAATTTTCAATTTTATTGGTTTTCTGTTAAAGGTGTCACTAGCAGGAGACATTTTCTTTTTGCAGATCCTTTGATACCAAGGTGGAGGTTGTTAGGCAATTTGTTGTCAAACAACCTCCTGGACAATGATGTACCTCAATTTTATTTAATTTCAGTCGGCCTTGATCATATGACTGAACTATATGTCTACACCACCATCGAGACGATCCAACCTAATTTTCTACGGACCATTAGAAGCAACTTATTTTAATAGTGTTGCTCTTGGCCTGTCCCATTTACTTGGATGGCTACGATATTCATTTGGAACCCATTATCTTTGTGTTGGGCCTTTTGGGCCATTAAAGTTAACTTACCCTAACTTACCTTATTTGGTCACTCTCTTGGGCTTAATTCTTGGTCCCTTTGTGCCTCCAATATGTCATCTTTTATGCCTCTCTCCGTGATACGGTCTCTGCTCATTCTCAGCCTCTTTCTCTCTTGCAACCTATGTGGTTTCTCTTGGGTGATATTGCTCTCACTTTGACTGCCTCTTCGTGGGTATGAATAGCAACCGTATGTGGGAAGAAGAAAAGAAAATTTTGGGTGTGCCCCAATAGTGGTGGTAGTGTTGGTGTCGATTTGGTTGGAAACTAAGCCCGGTATCACCTTGGTATTGCTGGATTTTGGCTTCACACTTACTGCTCAACCAAATAGTCCGTATCACAAATCTCCCAATTTTCAATATCAACCTCCCAATTTTGTGGTCAAATTACATGCAATGCCTTCAACAAATTTGGAATTCACTTTATCCCAAAAATTTCCATCCTCGTCAGCCATAAAGGAAGAATTTCCTTTGAAGAACACTCCCTATGGCGGATGAAGAGGAAGTAGTAGAAGAAAGAACAACGGCACCATCGTTAGAGAAGGTTTCCATCTCGGGAATCGCACTTTTGGCCTACCGAAGAAGTGATGTAATTTTCCTTAAATTCCTCAAAGCCAACGAAGGACAAAGTAGCTTTATCGATACTGAAAAGTGTTGTAGCCTAAAGAATAGAATTCAAGATTGATGAAGTCTTGGAAGAAGAAACCATTTGAGAGAAGCATGAAAGGGTTATGTATATGCATGGAATGGATGAAGAAGGACAACCTGCTTGTTATAAATAATTTCATCCCCATTTGGTTGACATTTGAGTTTTGTACTACAAATGATTTTATAATACAGCATGATGTTTGTAATGTGCTTCAGTTTCATTAGGATCATTTTCGTGTTGACATTTGAAATTTAGCTTGATTCAACTTTCCATTTGTTAGTTTTCTTCAAGCTCGATCTATGTAACATCTAGTGGAACATAGTAACACTATGTTCTGTAGACAAGTAACACTACTCATTTATATGATGTCAATCTATGCAGTTTCACAAATGGTTTTCATTATCTTACATGTGTGTTACAATAGGGATGGTATTTTGATACTGTGATGTTGTTCAATGAACCTAAATATGGCTTACTTGATCCCAACATATCATTATCTATTATCTATCCATATGGTGTATTTTTCATTGGAGGCGTAACATTGCATAGCCGTGTGATTCCATATCATTATTTGTTCGATGTAGGAATCAATGAGGTTAAGCAAATCTTTCTATCACTATGTTTTGCCCCTTACCCTTATCACGAGAGATTAAGATCACTTGCAATATTGCATCTATAAATACAAATTTGTAGCATACTGGTCTGGAAATTAGCATTTTGATTTCTTCGAAGAATTTTCTACAGCATTAGACAAACACTTTCACGATAGACAAAAGTTTCTCAATGGTAGGGTTTGATCATTATTTTCAAATTCATCTCATAACACTTTAGATTTATGGTCTAATAGATTAGATCTCATTTATGAATTGAAACATTACTTTCACATGTTACGTTATTATTCAGATTATCCGATATTGAAGACAAGAAATAAGAAGATGTGGCTGGTTACTCCAAATGTGCATGTGGTACCACCGAATGATTACAATTGACAGAATGCTAATAAGATATTACATTGACTATGTGAAACCAGCCTATTTCTATAGCAGAGTTAATTGTTTCAATATTTACTGAACTTTACACACTGTCATGTTTCACTCACTGCACTTTCATTTGCACTTCATTACTCATTGAACTTTGTAAAGTTGCACTCCATCACTTACTAGCTAACTTCCGTCCATACCAAGCGCCTATGTGGATGACGGTTTTCACATGTGGTCATTAATTAAATCCAACTGCCACGTAATTAGTTGCCATCTTCCCAACACTCCATTTTAATTTGAAAGCATGAAATGAAATCATATATAGAGAAATGAGATGCATAGTAGAAACCATTTTCATCTCTCAAATCTTTGATTCCCAAATCGCATGAACCCTAACCCCAAATCAAAATTGATCCGAAATTAAAGGCCCTGCAAGGGTGATTTGCTCAGTCCGTTGACATGAAGAAAACAAATAGAGGTAATTAAATTTTTTTTTTCCAATTTTTTTCTCATGTCACTTTCACTGCCTTCGTCGTTCCAAGTAATATTTTTTGTTAAAATCATTGAATTTTTATTTTTTTTGCAAGTATTTTTTTTATGCAAGATGCAGTCAATGTATTTGATGAAATGGAGATGGGTTTATCACCGTTGATGGACTGAAATCGATCTTGGCTTCAGTTGTGCTTAAGCAAGGGAGAACTGCAAAGGATTTATGAATATGATCATAAAGGTTGATGTAGATGGTGATGGTATGATGAATTTTGCAGAGTTTAAGCAAATGGTGAAAGGGGGTGGATTTGCTGCATTATTTTAGTGTGAATGTGTGTGTGCATGTTTTTTTTTTCCTGAAACTTTTTATAGGCTACGTAAATATATTCATTCATAGTGCTGTTCAACAAATTCAAACATTTTTCATCAACAATTTTGGCTTGTTTAATATGATGATTTGTACTTTTGGACTCAAGAGATTTGTATCTTCAATTTTGTATTTTTCTATTCGATAGGGAAGTACGAGTGGAGTAACGTCTCGCCTAACCAATGAAAGCCATTAAAGGATGAAGGTCAGCCCGGTGATTTTAACGACGGATGGAATGCGATTCCAATGGAAGATCTATAGCGTTTTTCCACAAATGTTGGCATTGTGCTATATCTGTCTTTGGTGTTTGTTATTGATGTAGCATGACTTTGTTATTGAATTTACAATTGATATTATGCTTGACAGAAACATGTTTTTTACAGTTGATATTATTGTTTACCAAAGATTTTCCTTCATGGATCAGTGACATGAACAGCCTGGAACATATTGATTTTTCTGAAATGCTTTTACGGGATCATTGCCAAAGTCAATGGGAGACATTAAATCATTATTAAAGTTTCTTAGTTTCTCTAACAACATACTAATGGTTGCATTCCCAAATCAGATTATTGGTTCAATTCCTCCAGCTTCTAACAAACTTTTTTGAGTACATCCAGTTGTTGGATCTATCAAGGAACAGTTTGACAGATAATTTGCCTCTACCAATACTACTACACAATGATAGATATTAATAACCAAAATAAATTAAAATTGTAAAGACAGTAAATATTCCAACATAATTAAAACGTAAAGAAATAAGAGTCTTAGAGGCAAACTTCAAACATCACAACATAATTAAACTGTTGATAGGCTCTAGTACATCATGACATCAAACATCAAAGGCTAAGAAAGACAAAATTTGAAGTATGAAAAAGTCTAGTTCTTACTACAAAAGCATGAAACTTAAAGCGAATTCTTCTCCTCAATTACATAGTGGAAATTAAAATTGTGAAGATAGCCATAGCACAATGCCAACATTTGCAAAAAAAAGGCTACTTATCTTCAATTGGAATCACATTCCATCTGTCGTTAAAACCATTGGGCTGACCTCCATCTTTTAATGATTTTCGTTTGTCGGGCGAGACGTTACTGCACTCAAAATCCACTCGTTCTTTCCCATCAAACAGAAAAAACACAAAATTGGAGATATAAATCTCTCGAGTCCAAAAGTATAAATCATCATATTAAACAAGCCAAAATTATTGTTCAAAAATGCTTGAATTTGGTGAACAGTACTTTGAATGAATATATTTACATAGCCTATAAAAAAGTTTCCGGAAAAAAACACTCACACGCATTCACATTAAGGCCCCGTTTGGGAGCGATTTTTAGAATTATTTTTTGATCGGAGAAAAGTGGAAGCCACCTATAAGAGAAGAAGTCAAACTTTACAGCTGAAATATTGAAATAACGGTCAAAAAAATCAATTCTTTCGGGGGTGAACAATCACTCACAAACACCCTCTAAATTAATGCAGCAAATCGACCCCCTTTCACCATTTGCTTAAACTCTGTAAAATTCATCACACCATCACCATCAACCTTCACTATCATATTCATACAATCCTCTGCAGCTCTCTCTTGCTTAAGCACAGCAGAAGCTAAGATCAATTTCAGTCCATCAACGGTGATAAACCAATCTCCATTTTCGTCAAATACATTGACTGCATCTTACATAAAAATAAAAATAAAAATACTTGAACAACAAATCCAATGATTTTAACAAAAAATATAACTTTGAAAAACGAAGGCAGTAGAAGTGATATGAGAAAAAAGTTGGAAATTTTTTCTTGAACTACCTTTGTTTGTTTTCGTCATGTCAACGGACTGAGCAAATCGCCCTTGTCGAGCCTTCAATTTCAGATCAATTTTGATTTGGGTTTAGGGTTCACACGATTTGGCTATCAAAGATTTGAGAGATGAAAATGGTTTCTGCTATGGATCTCATTTCTCTGTATATGAAAATTTGAGTGTTGAGAAGATGGCAACTAATTAGGTGGCATTTAACTCTGAGTTGGATTTATTTAACTGCCACGTGAAAATCGTCATCCACATAGGGGCTTGGTATAGATGGAAGTTACTTAGGGAGTAACGGAGTGTAACTTTACAAAGTTCAATGAGTAATGGGGTGCAAATGAAAGTATAGTGAGTGAAACATGACTGTGTGTAAAGATCAGTGAGTATTGAAACAATTAACTCTTCTATAGCATCGATATTTATTTTCATTAAATGTTTATGTTTTATTTCTTCAAAATCGATTTTCAAGTATGGAAGCCATACTACACCTGCAAGTTTTTTCTTTGTTGCTCTCAATTGTTTGCCTTGCTGATACAATTAAATCTCATTTTATTCTAAATAATTTAGTTCTTGTGCAACTAATGAATAATTAGATCATGGTTTATAACTTATTGTCTATCTAAACCAAATACATTTTGAAATTTTTGGATCAGTGCAAATTTTTCAAGGTTATGTGTGAGATTTTTTACCGTACAAGCAAAAAATGAGATTTTAAGAAGTTATCTGCTATTAAGGAAAATAGGTTGACAACTAAAATACAAATAATTGATCCAAAAAATTAGCTCAAGTCTTGACTACATCTTTGTTTAAAATAGTCTAGTTGCTCAACATCACAGGGTCTCTGAAGTTTGTTTCATGGCCAGAGTAGGCAATATTGCTGTCTGCTCACCATCAATCACCAGAATTCTTCCATCTTTGGAGCATTTTCTACTGAATTTTGCCTAAAAAAAGCATCGACAAAACAACAATGAATTAATTTATAACACTTGAATAGGATGTAAATATAGTTATTACATATTATTTACAAGATCTCCCTTGATTGACGATTTACATAATAACTATCTCAATGAAATGTTATTTTGCAAAAATCCGATTGCAAAAAAATACCAATAAAAGAAAAAAGGGTACAAATAATTTAGAGGAATAAAATACTACCTGTTAAAAATTGTCAAGAAAATCTAATGGTACAAAACTTGATCGAAAGAAAGAGAGTATAGCTATTCCCCCTAATTTCAAATCTTGTATCAAGCGATCCATGTCTTTTATGTCAATGTCTTCAATACTAAAATCTTGCACGTCAATAGCTTCAAGAAAATTAGTGGGACAAAACTTGATGACTGTAGTAACATAATTATTAAAAAATAGTTCTTGTTGATCTATTCAAAATTAGGAGTCTCATACATATAAAAGCATTATTTTGGGGGTACATGTCTTGTATGTTATGGACCTTCATTATACGAAATATATGCCTCGTTAAAACTTTATTAGAAAAAACTCTATGACAAAATTTTAATGAAGGAAAAAACAGTACATTTATTCTTTTGAGTACGTCACAAAAGTTATCTCATTATAAACTTTGTTAAAAAAAACCCAATAAGACAAAACCTTGGTCAAAGGAATAATAGTACAATAAGTATTTACTTCTCCTCATGATAACATCACTTGAATTATGTTTCGGGCATATTAAATCCTTCAAAAATAATATTAAATTTATATTAGTTTGACTATCAGCCCTTGTTTGAGCCCCATTTTTTTTTGGAAAAAAAATCATTCTTGAATAGTATTTTCATCATATTTCAACCAACATTTTATAATAAAATAATATTACACATAAATCCAAAATTTTTATTTATTTTTAACACATTTTCCATCAATACACTATTCAAAAATACTTTATTTTTTTTATTTTTTTTACAAAAATATGGCCCAAACAAGGGCTAATTATAGTTTTTATATGCATTTCAAATTTTATGCATTGTCACCCTAACAATATAGAGACTTGTTATCTATTTATACAAGTCTTCAAGAAATTCATAATATAAAGAGTTGTAGATTTTGTATTATGACTTTACTTTTTCATTTTCATTTCGCATAAATATACACCTTTAGATGTTTAGACTGTAAATTCAGAAATTTCAAGTTGCTATAGTAAGTTCAATTTTACTAGGATCGTATCCTGAAACTTTAGGTTTCTTTAGTAAATTTAATAATTTTAGTATGATAGCATCATTTTATTTCAATTCCTCAATATTCATAATATGATAAGTATATTACGTACAAAAATATTGTCTACGACTTTTTGTTTTCAATTCTATTATTTTCTCATAATGACATAACTTATTGAAATATTTTAATTTTAATTTTCAACATATCAATTATTTAAACCTCTTCTGAAATTTTATAATTTGTTATATATAAATACTTTTTAAAAATATATGCCTCTTTAATGGGGCACCTATATAAATTATCTTTCGAATTTTTTGATACATTTATCTTTTGCGAGGATTTAGATAATGATGCCTTTGCACATTATTTTCAATTTCTTAATTTTTCACTTGATCCTAAGAGGATTGTCCAGTGAAATTGACAATCAGAAAACCGCTTCATAAAATATTACCCGTTAGGGTTTGAGATATTGTATAAGGGTTCAAACTATTCATTTGTTATCAACATACTTTACATTTCATCTTAGTACATTGTGGTGGATCAATTTTACATATATTGTACTATCAAAATAATTAAATGAAAAAATTAGGCTCTGACTATAAGTCAATTACAAAATGAAGAACTATAATGTTGACATAATGCATAATAGCATTCCCTAAACAGAAATGAAAAGTACTTTGTTTTCAATTAAATTAATTAGAGGTCGTTTAAAAGCAATAGTGTTAAACCATTTGTCGATATCCCAAATAAAACTTATTAAACGGTTGAGATCTAGGATCATTAGCATTAATAAGACACACCATCTTGATTGTGTAATCTAAAAACTATGCTCATAATTTAAATTTTGAGCGGTAATTTCGAAAACTTTAGATTGCGAATACCATACAATCATCAAGTATATGTATCAAATATATTAGATATACCTCGCTACTCACCTCTGGTGAAGTCAATAAAGCTAGCTGCTGCTTTTAAACTTTATTAATGTAGTGGGCGATAGTTGGAAGCACAGTATAGTAAGGGCAGAAGCAATCCTCAAGTCTCATTTTAGAGCTCATTAGTCCTAGTGTCAAACCCAAGAAAAAGGACAATAGGTCACTATAGGGACATAAACCCCCATAAAAGATCTTCTTTTAGGCCTAGAAAGGGAATTCCACTTATAGATAGGAATAGGCCCATGCAAAATAAGTATTTCGAGAAACGAGGGTCAGTTAGCCCGGTCGATAGATGCAGTGCTGAGGTTGCACTTCTCTTAATGAGTCTGTCCATTCGAGCAATCAGTAATATATAAATAATCATCGTGGAGGATGATGGGCCTGTTTATCACGTTAATTAATTTTCAAGAATATAGAAAATTAGGTCCCTATTTTAGTTAGTGATTTTTAAAGATTAGTTTTCGTTAAAGAGAATCAATAACATAAAGGAATTCATTGGATTTAAAAATGTTCTAATTCTTTGTTGAATGTCCATTTCAAATTTTAATTTTGCTTAATTATTGATCCAGTGATAATCTAATTACTCATACCCAACAATAAAATCATATTAAACTTCTGGTTCAATATAGTATTCTTTTCAATTATACCACACATTTTAAAAGCTTAGCATGTTTCTTTTTAATTTAGTAGAGAATAAATTATTATCAGTCGTAAGATTCTATACTCCCACATAATCCAGTATTGATTCTTCTATATTATCAATATAATGTTCTTCAGGAATATTGATATAGACCTAGTTATAATTATTCAGTAGTAATATAATAACATTCTTCATGAATATTAATACATTTAAATTAATCATAATATTCTTTAAAATATTAATATGTATAAATTTGTGCTTCTTCAGTAACACAATACAATACTCTTCAAGAATACTAATATGTATTATTTTTTCTTCTTATAGAGCAATGTATCAATATTCTTCTGAAATATTAAAATTATAATGGCATGCTCTTCAACAGCACATAATATTCATTCTAGAACATTTATATAAAATGTATTATGTTTCTTTTTAGAATATCAACACTATATTCATTTAGTACAAATATAATTTCTAATTGTGCTTAATCAGAAGTACAAGTTAAATCAAAATATTCAACTAGTATAATATAAAAAATAAAAACACTTTTAAAGATTATACTTACTTGAATTTGAAAGCTTTATAAAGCCTTGAATAGTTGACAAATCTCATATTTCTTAAAGATAATTATAAAAAAATTATCGTACATTAAAATTTACCACTGTTCATGTAGCTATTTCTCACAAATAAGCCGTTGGATTTTGATAGGAATCATTGCATTTGAAGCAAAATGAGTTATGAACATCCTATCCAAGTTTCATGACAATCAGAGCACGACACGCTGAGATATCAACATATTATCATAGCGGTGCAAACTATCCATATTCTGCGAATTTTCTACACTGTTGATTTTGAAATAATAATAAAAATTTACATAGTATATATAGTCACTATAAGATCAGTGAACTTCGAATTCGTGATAATGTTTATCCAATCATTTCTATGAATGTATAGTACATGGTAAAATGGAGTGTCGGTAATTTTTATTTTATTTGTTTCTTACTAGATACAAGAGAAATGTAAAGATATTTTATATTATTTTCTTGCATCATTTTAATGCGATATCCATTGCAACGAATATCTTAAAACTAAGCAAATTTTTTCTAGCTAGAATAAAGTGTATTATTAATATAAAATTTTATATTATTTGATAAAATAATACAAGCTCTTTTGGAGTTTTCAACAATATTTGATGCACATTATGTCGTTATTTAACATTATTTTTCTGTTAATGTTAAGCGATAAAAATATTTTTTGTCAACGTCGATATGACATTAGTTATATGTTTTCCTTTAGGTATAAACACTAATTCAAAATGCTATGCTATTTAGGGTTGGGCAAATCTCCCAAACCGAACCGACCAAACCGAACTGAACCGAACCCGACGGTTTTTGTCAAATTAAATACCCGAACGGGTATCTGAATTGAGAATCGATGTGTAAGGTTCAGTTCTCGGTTCTAGACGAAAAACCGAATAAGAATCGAATCTTTCTAATTTTTTT